GACTGTATGGTGTTTGGAGAAATGACACAATCAATGGCCCATTAATTGTACTTCTATAAACTAGAATCTTGTCGGTGCCTGAAGAAATTCACACTGGCTAAACCGGAGTCAGGTCTAATGATTAGTGCCTTTTTTTGCGAGCCCGTTTTTTTGCGATTTTTATTAAAATTGCTACTAGGTTATTTGTTAAACAAAACCACTAGTCTGAGGATAAACAGGAACCATAGAACGCGACCTTTATCTAGAGAGCCATGAAGCCCATGAAGATTGATCCTTCACAAATTATTTTCATCTGCGTCTGCTGTATTAATAAAGCTGCCACGTGTTTTCAAATTCAAGTTAAGGCACTATCTGTGCCAGAACATGTAAACATATTCTTTCCATTTGCAGTATTTTATTTTTAAAAGTGTTCCAGAAAGACTGCATCAATTATGCTATATCTATAATAATATCAATATTGTGTATTAACTTCAATCAAAGTCAATTTAAAGTGGACGCTATCTAGTGCTTATATTGAATAATATAGTGTAGGACCGATACCCATAAGGCATATTTATTACTTTTTATTTTTCAAAATACCAAACGAGATCATGCATTTTAAGCCATTTCCTCATTTTCTCAATTGAACACTGTCCTTTGCATCATGGGCCTGATTCTGTGAGAACAGCACCATTCTACAGGCCTGGCATATGTTACTACAGCGCTCTCCACGCTTTCCAACGGCGCCAATGTCCCCGTGGCTGTCTCCCTCCGATTGGTGGAGTTGGACCAATAGCCCGTAGCGGCACTTCTGTGACGTCATAGAAGTGTTCCAAATCAGGATCAGTCTGTATCAGATCCGGTTGCAGCCCTTTTTTAAGACGATTTGGGTATGGACAGAAAGAGAGGAGTTGTGTTTTTCTGACACTTGGCTGAGTTCCCTGGAACACCGGGCGGACACATATTTACATGCCATATACAAGACGTTACAAAAGTGCATTTTGCATGACAGCGTCACCTTTAAATTAGCGGGCAAGACTTCCAAGGTGTAAAAATGCTGCTGCCGGACTACTGACTGGAAGTACTGCTACTATCCTCTTAAAATACTCTGTCCAACAATATTAGTCTCATGAAGAAAGGTGCTGATTCAAAATAGCAGAGAAACATGCATTCTTGTTCTCAGGAGGGGACATTGACAGAGGAGTACTCAAAAGGTACACAGTAAGTACTTCATAGTACTTGTGAGAGTAGTTTCACTACAGCCTACTGAGTCCAACAGGATCGATCTCACGAAGAACTACTGGCAGAAAAAATAATAACAAACTCGAGAGACGGCTGAGTGACCGCAGTGCAGAATCGCTGTATAGTTGAAATCTCCTAACAATGTTGTCCATTTTAGACACAGGCCTATTATATCTACAGCCCTTAATAACATTCATTTTCTGGGCTCAATATGTGTCTTGGCTGTTTTCGTTGTGAAAACAAATGGACCGTAGATACACGGATTGACCGTCCTTATCTGCGCTCTTATTTTGAAAGACAACTTCCGGTAGCAGAATATGGAAAAACTGGGTTTTTTGTTTCTGTTTTCTAGTGATTTTATTTTTTGTTTTGAGAAGTAGAAAATGAAAATCATCCCGTTTTTTAAGTTTAGTAAATCCCTTTTTGACCATGATAAAGAAAAACGCCTCGTATTTCAATTTTGGTTTTTCAATTTTAAAACGAAAATCAAATATCGAGTCGTTTTTTGTTTTTGATTTTCCATTTGTGAAAAGAAAATCCAATGACCAAAACATACACTGACCGATGAGTTATTGTTATTACAACGTGACTTCACTATTATTGAACAACTCCTTTTATTGTGTCCTTTTATTGGGTTAAGTACATTGTCAGAATAAGTGAGAAATGGATGTAACTTCTGTTAGACAGCTATCATACTGAAGAAATATTGACGGTGAATGTATGCGATATGTATGGCATTCCTAATTTATATTTTTATTACATTAACTGTGAATGTCCTTAATTTTATAACAAATAAAATAAAATAACAAAATATTTTTGTGTAGGTGTTTGAGACGTTTATGACTCGCGCATGCACGAGGCAAATCGGGCAGCCGTCTAGACGTGTAATGTCCTATTGGAGTTGCCTATGGAGTTGTCCAATATGGCGGACCATCTCGCACATGCGTAGTGCGGATCGGGTAGTGACATTCGCCGCGTGTTTGTTTTACAAAAAATGGCGAAGCAAATTAAGTTGTTTGAATGTGGGGTAAAAAGTTCAGCCAACCCGTCAACATCTCAAACGAATGTTCAAAGTGATTCAACTGAAAAAGCGCAAGGTGAATCCGAACCTTATCCGAACTAAAAGCAAAGAGGAATGTTGTCCATTCACTTCCGGTAAAAGTTCCTTCAAAATAAGAGTCCCGATCATATTACTACCAAAATAAAAGTGCAAAACGAAAACGTTACCATAGGAAAATATTGGCATAAAAATATAATCACTTCTATAAAAAGGTAACACGTTTTAAATATAGTTAGACATATTAAAGGTAATTTACAGCATTAATAATTAATATCTAATTCTTAACTGTGAATGTTTTTCATTTATTTAACATTAGAAATGTATTAGTCTGGCCAATGACAGAACCACAATCAATGGTGAAGGGCCAATGGATCTATGGTGGGGGTCAGCACAAAGGTCAAGAAAACCCACATTTGAAAGGAAGACAACGGATGACCAAGAAACTAGTGACTTGCTCAATTCCTTTTTGGGGGATCTGTGAAGAACATGACAACAGCTGCACTACTGGTGTTTTGTATACCAGCAATTGAGGGTGGACAAGTTTACTACCACTTTAGTTTCAAATAAGTGCGTTAATTAGTTATTGTAAAGCATTTGAACATTCTTTTGTGTCACATGTTCATTATTAAGTTGATGTATAACTGTATAGTATCTTAATTATTTAAAATATAAGGTGACTAAAAATGGCAACCGTATTTTCAGTTTTGGCAACCAAAAGCTGATGCCTGGCAACCACTTTTAAAAGTTAGCGTTGAGCCCTGCAGCTTTGTCACTCATTTGGTCAGATATTCAAGTCTTTTTAACCTGTTGTAGTCTAAAATATACATTTGAGGTTTTTTTTATATTTTTACATTTTGCGAAATTTATATTTTGAACTTTAGGGCTCCCATGCAATTGTGATGTAAGTATTTTAAATCATTTCCCAATTGAATTGACAGAAAAGTTTCATGATATTTACTGTTACCTTGATGTTAGTAAGAATGTGTTATTTATTATTTCGATTGGACATTCTTTGGTACAAACACCCAGAACAATAAAACCCAGACACGTTGCATCATTGATCACCACATGTCTTACCTTCTTTGGCAGAGCCTCCTGCTGAGATGTAAGGCACCCAGTTCCCATGATGCATTATGCTGCACCACGGCACGCTGGATCCCCGTTCATCTATAGGTTCAGTCAGGTGACACACCTCCAGCGTCTCAAAGTTCTGCTGGAAGTCCGACACCAACATCCTGAGGGAGAGGAGAAAGATCCAGGTGAGTTACAAACAAGCTAAAATGTATGGCTGCCATGAAATCTCAATACGTTGAAGAAAGAGACAGAAAACACAGAATACAGAAACTGCAGCGAGAAGCTCACACCACAACAGAAGATCTTTTCCAAGTGATGCACATGCCTGGGACACACGTGTTGTCGCCATGGTCTGGGGTATGCTGTTTTGCTTATAATTAGCCTGCTTAGTCACTTAACCTGATGACATACACACATTTCATTTTGAAACAGGCTAACATCAGCTGAACGTAGATACTTTTTCAACAGTCACTAAGTAACAATAAGGGTTGAATAATTCAATTGTTGAAGGTAAATATGTTTCACTTTGACAGTTTAATTCCACAGCCAGTTTCACAGATTATTATTATTTGAATTGGTAGGCTTATGATAAGTAAAAGGTTAATGCTTAATTTCATTAATTAATTTCACCATTAAGCTCTCAGGGCCACCGTACACATATGTGGTTTGATCTTTTAAAACTTGAAGGACACACCCCTCCAAACATACAGAATATAAATAAACCAGAAAAGTTATATTTGTTAAACTAATTCTTCATTTTTATTATATCTACTTGGACAGCAGTAGTGTAGTTCACCTACAATATAACTGAAGTTCAACCGCAGTTAGAAATGTTAAACTCATCTCACCTGAGCAGGGACTTGAACCCTGGCTGTACCCTCAGAATAGTAGCGCATTGGTCTATATATTTTTAGTTATGAATGATAGTGTAAACTACATGTTAGTAGCTTAATCCCTCTGCTGTTGATACTATCTACATCTAGTCATTTAAAACTTGTCTCGCCTGAACAGGGACTTGAACCCTGGACCCTCAGATTAAAAGTCTGATGCTCTAGCTATCCAGGCTCTATTACTGACATGTTGTAGTAACTTAAAGAGTTCACATTACTAAATTACTTTGCTATAGTCATCAAATGTATGTATTGGGAACAGGGTCTGAACACTGAGCTATCCAGACTGTCAAAACCCTGGGAGAGTAAAGGTAAATTATTAAAGTGTCCCATCAATCTTGTAAGTGTGATTCTGGCCACATCAAATTAAATCATGCAGATTCAGCAGAATTTTTTCTGGTCAGTTCCTCATAGAAAGTTGAATCTCTAAGTGAAAAAAGGTGAAATAAAAACAGTTTTGTAAATAATGACATAGGGTCTGTTTGAACAAAAAGCAAGTGCCACAATAACCTGGATCAAACCTTATATGTACTCTCTTAAACAGAGGGGAATAAGCAGCATATAACGTCATGGAAAAGCCCAATTGTGTTCCTTGTTGATCTTCTTGTGGTTGGGCCTCACATGTCAGGGTGTTTTGTTTCATGTTTGCAGAAGGCGGACAGTCAGAATCAGCAGTGTGTGTTCAGAAGCACACACTCACCAGAACTCCCCGTCCTCCCGCCTCACTCTCTGCAGCCTGCTCTGCTCCTCCACGCTCACTGATTTCCACTCAGGACTGCACAGATCGATCACAAACAGAGAGGGGAGATATTTATCTATATGTACAGAATATACAGCAGTACAATATGTATTTCCAATTAGAGGTGTTGATAAATGAGGTTAAAATGTACACACGCCTATCTGCTGCTTGGTGTCCTTATCATGATTGTGTGAAATATATTTATTTATATTCAGATGTTTACCTGACTGTGAGTTATTGTGTGCATTACAAAGCATAACTTTAACCTATACCTCGGGAAGACTGAGGCAGGCAGAGAGACACAAATGTACAGCAGCTAACAATTCCATGTAGCTTAAGATGGAGACATTCTATTAAAGAAGCCCAATTATGCTTTTTGGCGTTTTCCCTCTCCTGTAGTGTGTTATATAGGTTTGTGTGCATGTACTGTATGTGTGCTCTGGTTTCAGACAGAGGGTGAAAAGAGGTGCTGCAGCACAGGCAGTATGAGAAAAATAAAGAGCTTTTTAAACATTAAAGCATGGAGACATGTCACAGTAGAGACACTGAATACTGATATACTCTTTAAAGTAGAGAGACTACATACTGATATACACCTGGAACATCAGCAGGAGAGGACTCTTTAAAGTAGAGACACTACACACTGATATTGACCTGAAAATCAGCAGGAGAGGACTCTTTAAAGTAGAGACACTACACACTGATATTGACCTGAAAATCAGCAGCAGAATAGGGCTCCTTAAATGCTGCATGTTGACTCCTTCATAAACACGTTTTACTTGACAGCTGTAAACCTGTATGTACCAACCCTTGCATGTCACTCCAGGGCCCCTCCCACTCGGTGTTGCCCCAGGGGTTGAGGAGTCTTACTAAATCTACTGTGCCGTGTGCTGTCTGGACCTGGCAGAGGAGGAGGGAAACAGACAGAGAATGTTGAGAGCAGTGGGAGGAACATGGCGCTCCAATCACCCTCACAACTCTTTAAAGGAGCTGGACCCAGATTCAGAGCATAGCTTAAACAAGGACCCCACACACACACACACACACACACACACACACACACACACACACACACACACACACACACACACACACACACACACACACACACAGAGTGTGACTTCACTCTCTGCTCAGGGCGTTGGTACATTACTACACTAAATATAGTGTTTTGTAGAGAGTATAATAAGAGTTATTAAGACCTGAATGTTTGTAGCAACAATTATTATTGATGGTTATACTATTTAACGTAGAGTTAAGATGATCTAAATGTTCTCATCTTCTCTTACCCTCTCTACTGCAGTCAGAGAGTAGGCATGTCTGAACATGATGCCTAGTTCATTCTTCTGCTCCAAAGGACCCTGCAGAGAAACACACATCCGCCCACAGGAGAACAAGGCATTAGTGACTCACAGTAAACCTTCAATAGCAACATGTTGCGCTGCAGTGTGTCCCGGCCAGTGCTGGGGTAGATACTCAACAAAAAGTAATGCATTACACATGACTAATTACTTTTAAAAAAACTACTACTAAGTTACTCACTGCTGAAAGTAATTAGTTACACTACAAGTTAAATTCATTTAGGACTACTCTAACATCATCTGAGATGCACCATAAATCACAGGACAAATAACAGTATAAAGTTAAACCTAATTTAAGCCCGGATCAGCACAAATCCTAAATCTGATAAGGACAACACTGAACACAGACCTCTGTTTCTGCTCTCTGTTTGAACATCAGCCTTAACATAACTTCACAGAAAAATGTCTGTCATACACCAACATCACTTAAAATAAGTTTTCCTTTCAACCATCTACCGCAAACATGAATTTGCTCAAAATATCAATAAATAAAATAAGAGTTTGGCCCGCATCAGAATATCAGATGGACAATGTCATTAACAGAGCAAACAGACTCACTTAGCTCACACTGCCAAACTGTGGCTTTACACTAGCTGTATCCCTCTTACTGGTCATGCTTATCAAAGAAGTGGTTAAACCCTTTATGTATACAGTCTATGGTTATATGGTTATACCTCATGAGGAGGAGTCTCTCAAATAGTTAGTCTGACAATCTGTTCCTCCTCGGGTCCAACACAAGACGGCGCAGGCTGAAGAGACTCTCAACTGGTGCCCTACAGGGTGTCGCTGTATCAAATCTAACTGCTATAGTATACATTTGGGGTTCTGCTGTTTTCCTCATCTTTGAACCTTTGCGCTTAGTAACCTCCCGTCATGTCAGATGAGTGAAGCACTAGCACGCATGAAAAGGGACGTTTGATTTGTTTTTCTGTCCTCCCATTATGCAGACAGTTGAGGACCTTAAAAGTAATGCAAGTACGGTAACAAGATTGTTTCGTGCTTAGTAAATGTAATGTGATTACAGCAACGTCTTACTCTGTAGCGGGTTCCCCCCAACACTGGTCTGACAGATTAAACTAGCCCCCACGCTCTCGTACCTGGCAGTTGGCGCAGTTGATGAGCGCTCCTTTAGCCAGCAGCTGGCTGAGGAAGGCCGGGGGGTCTCTGGTCAGATGGGAAGCGGTCAAAGTCTCAGTCACCCCCCCCGTCATGTCCACCATTGCCTCATGAGGGAAGCCCATGTCCAGAGCTCTGTAGCCCCCTTTTACCCTGGGACACACACAGGTCAGACAGGCTACTGGACAAACAACGTCTGAATCAGCATTAAACAGGTCTTGCAAGAATGTGTTTCCTAAGAAAACCTGCCAATACATGAACACATAAATGAGTAAATCTGTTCCATCATTGAGGAATTACTTTTGAGTATGTATGATGTATGGTGGTGTATATAAGGTCTGTAGTCATTTTAAGGCCCTGACACACCAAACTGACACCAAAGAACACATCCCGACGAACACGACTGTTGTGTCGCCTCACGTCTCCTGCTTCTTGGCCAACAGTCGCACTGGAACACACCACAAAGACTTTAGCTGACGGCCAGGTAGCACGTGCGAACTGCGCATGCGTGAGTGGCAATAACTCTCCTTACCAGCAGGCGGCGGTAGTGTGTATTCGTCATTCAAAAGAGGCAACAACCGTTCAAGGATGCTAAGTCATCGAGTGCCGCCGAAGGACTGTTCCAATCTCCAGCATACTTGGAATTCCACCGAGGCTGCGTCCTNAAAAGATGCTATTAATGACCAGAAACACATTTTCAAAAGTTTTTATATCCCACATGCAGTTCACTGTAAAGCCACTTGGTGGAGGTGTTGGGTCAAACATGAACAGTTTTAAGAAAGAAAAAAACAAAGACCAGTTCTGAGAATACAAATTCCTAGTACAGTGGTAGATGTTCAGGTTGATAAATAATATTTTCCACAAAAAAAGTAATATATTACACTACTTCGTTACTCTAGTCTCTACATAAAGCTTCACACTGGAACACACCGCAAAGACTTCAGCCGAGCACGTACGAACTGCGCATGCGTGAGTGGCAATAACTCTCCTTACCAGCAGGCGGCGGTAGTGTGTATTCGTCATTCAAAAGAGGCAACAACCGGAAGACAGAGAAGAAGAACAGACTACGTGATTCACGTAGCCTGTTCTTCTTCTCTGTTTTCCGGTTGTTTTCTATTTGTTTATATCTGTGTGTGTTAGCTTCACCTTAGCATGTGTTCTTTGCAGGTGTGTTGAGGTTTGATTATGCCTGATTTTAGTAAGTAAGGAAGTAACGCGTGTCGGGGCAATGTTAGTAACTGNGCGGACTGTGTGGAATAAACGAAAGTACCGGTAAGGTACGCAGCCCAGCCGTCAGCCGGTTTAATTTAGGAGACTAACCGACAAGCGATCGCTTAGTTACGTACTCTCGCGGTTGCTTCACTCCCTGCATTTGTTTGCGAAATTCTTCGTGCTTCTTAACAGAGGCGTTCGTTGTGAGGTTACCGACTATCGAGGTCATGGCGTGTCCTGTACAAAAGCTACCGTGCTCTCCCTTTTACCTTGCGTGGCGATAAACAACAACAATATAGTGCCACCACACCAAATTGAGTTTGGGCGACAGGGCACGCTTCGTCGTCCGACTAACGAAAACGGCCAAAATCGGCTTGGTGTGTCCGGGCCTTTAGAGAGGAACAGTATTTAGAGATGTAAGGAGATGTCACATGTTTAAACCTGCTTACTCTACAGCCCTGGAGAAGACACCTGATAAACATCTGATTTTTGTGACTACTAGGCTTAGTTTTGGCAATTCTAATATAACTGATAACTTTTCAATTGTGAAACCTGAAAGTCAAAATCATGAATTAATGGGAAAAGTTGAAAGACAGGAAAGTGATCCAAGTGCTGGGTCAGATAGTAGCTACAGTACAGTTCTGCTGGTTGATAACGTTTAGGAAAATGTCAAGGCATTTAATGGCGCATTCACACCTCAGCGCGGAGCTCGCTTTAAGCATGCCGAGCCGTGCGGGGCCTGTTTTTGGTTGCGCTTACACTTGGCCTAGTTCCGGCCCGGGGCTACTTTTTCAACTTTTTTCTGGCCCGACTAAATCGTGGTTCTATCGAGGCCAACAAACAGGGCTGAGTCGGGCTGAGTTTGCTAAACTAGAGAGAGAATCGCTGTCAAGNGAGTTTCACCGCGGCTGTCAGCTGTGTTTACTCGCATCATTCAAACAAGACGCGCTGGCTTGGAGGCTACAACTACAACAAAATGAACATATTTTACCGTGATTTAATTGTAATTCACGTTTCAAAATGATGCCGAAGTAACAACATACTGATACCGGTTAGTAAAAACCATGAATTAATGCTTTGACAAGTCTGCAAACAGACGGCAGGCGAAAAATCTTTTAAAATGCGTGTTTTCTAAATGGAGCTTGGCTAAGCTAACGTTATATATGCTCCGACCGTCCACACTCACAACAACGACTGTATTCGCCATGAGACAGACAGTATGTGGTTTGTACTTGTTTAACTTTTGTCTAGTTTCTGAACAGATATGAAGAGCTGTGAGCTCTGAGTGCTAAGAGCTAACGGCTGTGTTGTTTTTTGGGGCGCTCATTGAAGATGACGTCACGGCTCCGCCTACACTGCGTTACTATAGATACTACCCCAGTTCCTAAACTGTAATGTGAGCGCAGCATTAAAGTGAGCCGGGCCTAATAAGGCCTAACCAAACCGAGCGAGGCCGAGCGAGGCCGAGCGAGGCCGAGCGAGGCCTGCAGTGTAAATGCGCCATAAGAGACAGATCAACAGGGAGATAATTAGAAGGTTTTCAATTACAGACAGGTGAAAGGGCTGTGCACAATATAAAATAAATGTTCCACACCATCTGCATTTCTTAGACCTCTTTGCTGTTTTTCTGTTGGGGAACAAGCAAGTGTGTGCAGGTAATATCAAGTCAGCAGCAAAGTATCTGTGCAAAGAGTGGTCAGGATAGCCCTTAAGATAATGCTAGCTGAAGTTGGACCATATTTAATGTCGACTTGCAGAAATTCATCTTTAAAAACATCCTTATTGGTGATCTAACTGGTACCTGTTGGATGGACCTTTAATCATTTTAAATAACTATGTGACTCCTTCAAACTTGTGCCAAATCCTGAATCCCAAAATGAATCTACCTAATCTATCTAATATATTTGCTTATGGAATTAATTACACTCTTGGAGGGAATGGGCTAGAGCAACAACATGCTACACAAACTGGCTTTTGTGAATAAACACAATTTAGGAAACATGTCAAATGCAGATTACAGTAAAGCTTTGCCCTACAGGCTGCAGTGAGCAAAACTATTGAGCCAAACAGACAGCATGCCGATGGATACGCTTCATAACGTTTATTCTGAGGTCGTCCACTGAGACGTGTCATTAGCTGTGTTTACCATGTGAGACGTTTTGCAGAGTAGATTTTAATATGACTTGATTACAACTTAATATCTGGCCTGTCGCGGTGCCATAGCAGCCTTTATTACATCTTTCCATAATAAAAAAGGTGTCTTCAAATGCACATCTGAAAATGCTTCACAACCCAAGGGGTGTTATTAGCCTCACTTTTCAATTAAGTAAGGGTTGATCATATTTAGCAGATTATTCCCCCCCACACACACACTGGTTGCAGGGACTCACTTGGCATAGGCCTTCTCCAGCAGGGAGCTCCAGAACTCGTGTCTCTCTGGAGAGCTGAGGTAGATCAGACTGTTGTCCTGAGTAGGCAACCGGTCGTCTACCTTCACCTCCTCCCACTGACCATACTGCCAGAACTGAACAGGGGGGGGTATTTAGTCTTGTCAGTGCAATGTGTGTAATTCACATTTAAATAATAAATACAAAATGTTAGGTTGAACTTAATATTATTACTTTCTACTAACTTAATACAGTTATGTGAAATGTGTTGATATTGTTTTCAGTGTAGCCTGCATACATCAACCTTTTCAGGTCCATTTGAAATCTAATTTGTCAGTTTATTTTTGTCATTGTCTTTGATTATTTTAAACTGTTTCACAATCTCACTGTAGGTAAACATTGTTCTTGAGAATAGGAGTTCTTCAGTCCTGCACTGACAGCAGGATGCCAGGTTAACGTTTGTGATTACCTTGAAGGTGAAGCAGCCGCTGTATCCTTCTTGGAAGCTCTGTTCTAGAGGCATGACCTTTTTGAGCAGGGAGCGGTGCACGGAGAGAGAGGCGATGGCAGAAAGTAACCAGCAGTCATCTGAGGACAGGAGGTCAGGTTTTGTCAACAAATATTGTCTGAACCTGTTCATAAGCCCTGTGGATCCTCCTTATAAAGTTGTCTCTTTAGCTTCCTGTTTCCCATAATCCATTGTGCACTGGCAAACCTTTGAAATAACGTAGTTAAAACACTCAACTAAATTAATAAAATATATTTCTAGTCTTTTACATTTCAATGACGAAATGTTACATATAATACTTTTAAATCTATTGCAACGTAATTGTCACAATGTCACACATGTAATGCAACAAAAAATAATCCAGTATCCTGGTTTGATAATACACCAATGGTGTATTTGTATAATGCTTCCTGCAGCAGACTCACAACTTTCTCTATTTCTTTCTTATTCAGTTTCTGTTATGACAAGGGCATTTCAATATGGGGATGAATAAAGGTCCATCTTATCTTATCTCATCTTATATCAAATGAACCCACCTCAATTAACAAAAATACGAATGAATACAGAATTATAACTGTTTTAATGGGCTAGGGTTAGGGTTAGGGTTTCCCTTTGTGTTATGGGAAAGCCTTCCCTCATGCGTTGTGTGCTCTGGATGAAGTATCCTGTGTGTTGTGTTCCCCTGCAGCTCTACTCACTGAGTTTTCCCTGGCGGAAGTCCAGGCGCGTAGCTCCGTTAACAATGAACTGCGGAGACGCACAGAGCTCCTGCAGAGCGACAGGCGATTGGTTGATCATTAAGAGGAGGAGGAGAGAGAGGAAACGAAAGAGAAGAGATTAGAGTGGGTGGAGAGGGACAGACAAATTATGCAAATAAAACAGGACCTATATAGCGTGTCAGAACAGCACCACAGTTAGCAGCAGATTATCTTTCAGAGCAATGAGGCAGAAACCTGGCCCACTACCTGACGTCTGGAGAAACTCAGCAGAGTCAGGGCTGAAAGTTTATGATTATTCCAAATGTTGAACGATTTGAACTTTTCAACCCATAAACAACCTATACAACAAAGGGTCCATCTAATAATGCCACATTACCCATCAATATACGTATCTATATACAGATACAATGCATTTTTATTTATATAAGCACCGCCGTGTGTTTTATGAGACCAGCGCTTAGAGAAATCCCTCAAACTGATGCTCAGAAAGTTGTTCACTGGTTCCCCTGCAGAGTGAAACCTTCAAAGTATTCCCCATTTATTATTTATTTATCTTACCAGGCTCCAAAATACTTCAGGTTCAAAAAGCTGCCAAAACTGCCCATTGCCGAATACAAGTCGATGAACTGTCATTTAAGTCATTCAGACCAAAAAATGCCCTTAGCATTTTCTTTGTAAAAAGCTTTTTAAAAAGTTGAACAGCAGCAGCAAGAGACCTAGAAAAAGGTTCATTATTGTTGATATTATCATTACTATTCCAGTTCAGCAGGATTGGCATGAACTGTTCCTGGAGAAGAGTGGTGCTGTCTAACAAAAACTTACAGCACCATATTTAACATTCCTGCCTACGACCAAGATAGTTATATAGTGTCTTTAAGGTTCACTTTATGTTGGGTAATCCGATTACTGCTACTACTGCTGTGTCCTGGTTTTAACTGGAGTGTGTGTTGGTGAAAAGTGGCATTAAACGAGCTTGTTGAATAATAATAATAATACATAACATTTATAAAGCCAAGGACACCATTACACAACCTTCTTTATAAACGGTAAAACATGTATTTGTTTGTCTTTTTGTTGACAATTCATCGAGAGGCATCAGTCACTTTACCTTCATACTAGGACAGCTACCTGAACACACTGCAGTTTACACAAACATATTTGTTAGTGCATTTATTTGATTGAATCCCCACTGTACATCAGTCCACAGTATTGTACTGCATTTCTTTCAGTTATAAATATATCTATCTTATTCCTAAACTTTAACTTCTTCTTATTGTGATATTTTTACCCAAGATGCTTTTCTTTTTAAATCTGATTTTATATTGGAGAAAGAGACCCAAACTATCCAACTGCAATATTGGGTTGTGTTTATGACACATTTAGACAAATAGCCAGGACCACATACACATTTCATTTTCTTAAATAAAATAAAATAATTTCCTACCAGAAAAAAAGAAATAGCAAACTTTATTTGTTTTGAAAATGATATTTGGTTTACACTTTATTCATCAAACAAGTGGCTGTGTGATGGTATGGTAGCACCTGAAGGCAGAGCTCGGATCTTGGATAATGTTTTATAATAAAATAATTTAAATTCATTCTTTGTAAAAGAAAAAAGGATTGAGGTTCCTGTTTGTACACCATGATCGCCTCCGTTGAAGATCCCCCAAAGGTGTCAAGTATAATGTTTCAGGTCAGATTATACTTTCTATTATTGTAGTGACCACGATATCCATTTGTTTTTTGTCCTTTGTTTGTAATTCACTCGTGGGGCTGACCGACGAATAGACGCTTGTAATTTGAGAGAAAAAATATAAATGTCCAGATGCGATTGAAAAGTAAGATAATTAGTAAATAAACGTTTTTTAAAGAAACTATTTTTCATATAAACTGATATTTCAATGTTAAAGCACAATAAAGAACCAAGCTGTGACGCTCCCAACCAGCAAGGTCTAAAAACTGTTTGCTTCAGTCAGCCACACCAGTAGGCTGCAGCACCTCTCCTTTTATGCTGCAGCATCTCGACCTGCAGAGTAACGCCCTCAAATAATAAATAAATAATATACACCATAGAATCTCAGGTTATACTCTAAAAATATAAGATACTATAATCTAAGGAAATGGCTCTTTCATAACCGGCCTCTAATTGTATTTTTGGAGTACCACAAAGACAATTATCAAATATACATTTAAAAAAATGGAGCCTACAGTCAGGATTTCTATTCATTTCATGAATCCAGTCATCTATCAATATGTGTTGTGTGGTGTTACTCATCCTGTCTACATGATATCGGACAGGGCCACCATGTTAAATTGCTTTAATAAGCATTTTGTGTCCTGTGGCTCTCCGTTTGACTCTGTCACTAACTGCTTCTGTGAACACCCCAATCTGTGACTCTGAACAGTGTGGTCTGGAAAACCCTTTCAGTTTTACTCCTTTTACTGTTAATGTTGTTCATGAAGCTTTAACCAAGCTAGATCCTAAGAAACTCTCTGGTCCAGACAACGGAGAACCTTTCTTTTTAAAAATAGCTGCAGATTGTATTGCTCCACCTCTTACTTCTCTTTTTAACCTCTCCCTCAGCACAAATGCAATTCCAAAAGTATGGAAGTCAGCGTATGTCTTGCCTTTGCTAAAAGGAGGGGAGGGTTAGACTAGACTAGGTTTCTTTTTCAGAAACAAGTCCTGTTTCTCGCTTGAGGCCAGGAAAAGGCTAGTCACTGTGACCTTTTTACCTGTGCTGGACTNGATATAAGTATGTGATTAATATAGATATGAAATATAATATATAAAACCAAATATGTAATTTAGTGTGCTGGCGCGGTAGTCGGTTAGTATTAGCTCGACGCCGATGACTCTCACTTTGACTCATAGACGAGTTCGAGTCTCCAACGCGATCTGAAAAAGCGACCGGGCGAGTAAAACTGCCTGTCCCTAGCCTATTTAAAGGCAGTTTTAGGTAATAATGCAGCCAGACATCTGATGATGGTTTTTCATTTTAGTTCATGAAAACTGACCCACATGAAAAAACTCATTATGAACCAAATTTGAGGACAGACTCATTTGTTGTAATACATAAAGACGATAGAAACTATCTATTTTTAAATCGCAGAGAGTTCTTGATTTGACGTAAGAGTTAATGCAAATCGATCTTTGCATAAAGAGAGGGTGCAATGCAAGCGAATACTTGCTAGAGTTTATGCAATAAAAGATGTATAGAAACGCGTTAAATAACAGAACGAAAAATACTATTTACTTACTTATCAGTCAAATATTTTAATAGTAATATCGTCGGTGTGTGAAACTTTACAGTCTCCGCTAGAACATTAAAACGGTCGACAATGAGAGTACTCGTTCCGTCTTAAGTCTATTATCAAAATAGTACGGAGTTCTTCCGACGCACACAGCGAAATAACGTGGAGTTTGTAATTTTATGTTACGTCTCGAAATGCGACAAGAGACGATGAAGGAATTCTCTTTCTTGTCGATTTCTTCTAGAACCGAAGTCCGAACCTAGCTGGCGAAGTTTCTGTCAGCAACGCAAAGGGGTATTTTCACCCGCCCCCGACATTTCGACTGCATCTAGAATGAGAAGTTATAATAGTTTTGGTAAGATAAATAAGATTGCGATTTAAGTGTACGGTCAAAAAGATAGAAAAATGCAAATAAACAAAATAAAAGAAAGGTGACCCGCAGACGAGACTGAGCGAAGTAAGGAGGAAAAAAAAAGAAAGATAAGAGTAAAAATATATGAATAAGTAAAAAATATGAAAAGATTGGCATAAAAAAAACACTGCTCTAGGAGACATATGGCGCGTTTCCACTGCGTTTTTGGTTGCATTTCCACTTGGCCTAGTACCGGCTAGCGGGTCCTAATTCACAGTTTTTCTGGCCCCATAAAATCGTGGTTCTAGGGCCAGGAACAACCAGGCTGAGTCGGGCTGAGTATGCTAAACTAGAGAGAGAATAGCTGGCAAGGGGGCTACAACTACAACAAGATGAACATATTTGACCGTGATTTAATTGTAATACACGTTTCAAAATGATGCCGAAGTAACAACATACTGATAATGCTTTGACAAGTCTGCAGACAGACGGCAGGCGAAAAACCTTTTAAAATGCGTGTTTTCTAAATGGAGATTGGCTAAGCTAACGTTGTAAATGCTCCGACCGTCCACACTCACAACAACGGCCTATACAGACATAAATAAACCAGCGACTGTATTCGCCATGACACAGACAGTCTGTGGTTTGTACTCGTTTAACTTTTGTCTAGTTTCTGAACAGATATTAGGAGCTGTGAGCTCTGAGGGGTAACGGCTGTGTTGTTTTTCTGGGGCTCTCATTGAAGATGACGTCACGGCTCCGCCTACACTGCGTTACTATAGATACTACCCCTTTTCCTAAACTGTAATGGAAATGCGCCATAAAGTGAGCCAGTCGTAACGAGGCCTAGCCATACCGAGCGAGGCCGAGCGAGGCCGTGTAGTGGAAATGCGCCATAAGCACCAGGAAGGTCCTGCATTTTACTATCTGACTGAGATGACCACAATCATGTGTTGGAGAAGCCTTTCAGATGCATACAGATGATACCATTACATATAAAAGGACTTTGTCAGTTTCCTCACAGCTGTCATGTCATTAACGTAGCAGGACTGTTTAAAAACTAATTTTCAGAAAACTGTGTTAGTTTGCATTAAATTAAATTAATTTAAAGAATGAAATTGCAGTACTTAGTGTAGAGGGTGACAGAGCGCAATGTGTTGTGCCCTAAGCTATGATTCTAACCTTTAAGTAAGTGTGTGTTGTCAAGCAACAACATAACACAAAATAACACCAACGTATCCCTTTAGAAGCTAGATGCCTCTGGCTCAAGAACAAAACCCTTTCTTGACTTTTAAGACGACAGTACTAAGTGTTTTACACAGTTTATAGCTGTCACCATAGATACAGATTTGAAATTATTTAGTAAACTTTAACTTTTTCTCTCTTCATACTGTAGTTAATATATTATTATTACAGTGACCACAACAAACCCTCTTAAATACACCCTCCCCTCCATTCAGGACCAAAAGGTC